TAAGATGGATGGATAGTTGTTATGAACAGTGTGAAATAAATTCATTTCCAGCTATGGGTTGTTTGGAAAAAAGATCAATATGATACATTTCCACTATAAGTAAATGAAAATGAATGCAGCCCTGTGGTTTCCTGAAAGCCTGGTTCTCCACGTGGCTCCAGAACTGCATTGCTGACCCCTGGAACACGTATTCAACAACTGTCTGTTTCTTCTTCCCAGCAGCCTTTGCTTCACACATCTGCTCTGTTGTCGGATGTATAACATTCTAACTGCTGTGTCTTCCTGACACAGTGACCCTTTATCATGATGAGATGTTCCTCCTTGTCTCCAGAAACCTTCTTTGTCCTAAAGTCTCTTTTGTCTGATACTTGCATCACTGCTCTAGTTCTCATCTAGTTACTGTCTGCATGGCATCGTTCCCATCCTTTTACCTTGCACTTATTTGTGTTGAATTTAAAGCGTGTCTCTTGTGGACTGTGTAACTGCATCTTGCTTTTATCTAGTATGACAATCTCTGCCTTTTGATCAGCGTATTTAATCTAAGTACTGATGTGATTTGATTTACATCTGCCATTTTGCTATTTATTGTCTAGATGTCCGATGTCTCTTTTTTCCTCTAGTCTGCCTTTATTGCCTTCTTTTGCATTAAACAAATCCTTTTTAATTTGATATTGTAGTATTATGTAATAATGTAATATTTTAATTCCTCTTGAATTTTAAACTGTATTTTGGAGTTATGTATGTTACTTTAAACTAAACAAGTCTAATTCTATTAATACAGACTTAATTCTAGTGAAATGCAGCACCTCTGCTCCAACATAGCTGCATTTCCTTCCCCTCCTCTGTGCTTATTGTTGTGTATGTTAAGCTATTTGTTATAACCCCAACAAAAGTTGCTTCAACCACCTTACATTTTAAGTAGTAGAGTCAGAGAATAAGAATGTCTTACACTCCCCTACATGCTTTCCACCTCTGACACTCTTTGCTCCTTCCAGTGGAGTCTGGTACCATCAGTGTAAACGTCTTCCTTCAGCATTTCTTGTAGGGCAGGTCTGTTAGCAACAAATTCTGTTTTTGTTACTCTGTGACTGTCTTAATTTCATCTCCATTTTAAAAATTACTTTGAATATACTTTTTTTTCTATTTCCCTTTTTATTGAGGTTATGATAGCTTACAACCTTGTGAAATTTCACTTGTACATTATTGTTTGTCAGTCATATTGTAGGTGCACCACTTCACCCTTTGTGCCCACCCCTCACCCCCCCCTTCCCCCTGGTAACCATTAGGCTGTTCTCTTTGTCCACGTGTTTATCTTCCACATATGAATGGAGTCATACAGAGACTGTCTTTCTCTGTCTGGCTTATTTTGCTTAACATGATGCCCTCAAGTTCCATCCATGTTGTTGTGAATGGGATGATTTTATCCTTTTTTATGGATGAGTAGTATTCCAGTGTATATAAATATATGCCACATCTTCTTTATCCAATCATTGGTCACTGGACACTTGGGTTGCTTCCATGTCTTGGCTATTGTGAATAGTGCTGCAGTGAATACAGGGGTGCAAGTTACTTTGGATTGTTGATTTCAAGTTGTTTGGGTAGATACCCAGTAGTGGGATACCTGGGTCATATGGTAGTTCTATTTTTAATTTTTTGAGGAATCTCCATACTGTCTTCCATAGTGGCTGCACCAGTTTGCATTCCCACCAGCAGTGTATGAGGGTTCTCTTTTCTCCACAACGCCTCCAACATTTGTTATTTTTTGTTTTGGTGATTATAGCCATTCTTAACAGGTATAAGGTGATATCTTAGTGTAGTTTTGATTTGCATTTCCCTGATGATCAGTGACGATGAGCATCTTTTCACGTGCCTATTGGCCATCTGTATATCTTCTTTGGAGAAACGTCTATTCATATCCCCTGCCCATTTTTTGATCGTATTGTCTGATTTTTTGTTGTTGAGATTCATCTTCATTATAAAAGGAGAATTCTACTGGTTACAGAATCTTTGGTTGGTATTTTTTAAGAGCACTTTGCACATGGCCATATCTAAGAGAACTGGAGCAGAGAATACAACCTGTTGAATAAAACAGGAATCCATGAATCTACGTTCTATAAATAAATGAATGAATACATAAATTAGATAAAAGGGAAAGCACTTCCTCAGTAGAATGCCAACTGACACATGTAGAAGGACTTGTGGATATATGGAAGTCACTCCACACAGTCGTCACAACAATGGTTGACTGTTGGGGTGAAAGCTGGATGAAGAAGAGAGAATCAGCGTCCATGGGATGCTCATCAGAGCAGGTCATGGTGCCAGCTTGGAGAAACTGACAGACACCAGTGCAGCCGGGTGACACGGTGGATGTCCCCATGGTGGGACAGGGTGACTGTGTGTGCCCTGACATGATGTGCCAAGAAGAGGCAGCAGTTATGGGCATTGCTGCTAGGAGAGCTTGGTCTGGTCTTATGAGGAAACAAACACCAGACAAGCCAGCTCATGGGTCGTCTTCTAGAATTTAAGGACTGTATTCTTTAAAACTGTTGAGGATGGCAAAGACAGGGAAAGCATGAGGGTCTGCTCCAGCCTGGAGGGGACTGAAGAGGTGTTACACCTGGAGACAGGGTGTGTTCACACGGGACTCTGGACCTGAGGGGTAAAGGAGTCTGGCCGCGACGGCTGACGGGCCGAGCTGTGTCGGGGCCGAGCGGCCTGGGCTGCGGGCAGTCCTGCGGAGGAGGCCCTGTCTTTCAGGGGAGCAGGCACCACAGCTGTAACCTGCTCTCAGCGCCTCAGAGAAACTCTGACGACCCAGAGGGGAAAATATGGCACGATGTTCACAGCTGGGGAGTCCAGGTGAGGGGGACATGGGAGTTTTTACCCTGTTTTACCATTTTTCTGTGTGTTTGAGACATTTTCAAAACAAATTATAAAAATACCAAGTTGGACACTCATCTTACAACGTCTCTCTCTCCAAATATACTCCCAAGAATTTGGAAAAAGGTAAACATTAAAAACTAGAAGAAAATGATCTGGGAATGGGAAAAAAATCTAAGCATAAAAACCTATGAAATAAAAAAGATAATAGTAACAGATTTGAGAAGATAAAAATGTTAAATGTCTAAAATGCAAAAAATCAAATACAAAATGAGAAAGCACATTGGGTAAAAGGTCATACCCTTTATATCGAGGGTTTCATGCACATGAAGGGAAAGAGAAAAACAGACAATTCATAGAAAACCCACAAGATGCCCAAGATGAAAACGCTCAGAATCGTTGACAGTCACAGAAACGAGGCCCTCTCCTTTCAGACTGGAAAGGGGGCACCACAGACACTCAGGGTGCCAGACGCCCCCGGGGCAGCCCTTGTAACTTGTTGACACTTATCAACACACAGAGGGTCCCTGTGCTCCCTGTGACCTTCTGGAAACGTAGCTGGGGACAGAGTCAAGTGAGTACACGTGTCCTCATACGAGCCCCCCTCACCCCGACGTGAGGTCGGCCCCAGGAGAGGCAGGGAGGGTGCTCCAGGCCGAGAGCACAGCTGAGCAGGGTGGCGGGCACACGCCAGCCAGACCCCGGGTGTCTGTGTGGGGAAGGAGGATGCAGCGGTTCCAGAAGCTGCCAGTCGCTCACATGCTGCTGGCCTCCTGTGAAGACAATGGGAACCATGAAGCTGGGCCACAGGCGGGGGCATGGGTGGGGCGCGGGCGGCACCAGGGTGGGAGGGCAGCTTGTCCAGCCCTGTGCAGGCAAGGACATGGGCCCCACAGGATGCTCCCAACCAAGGCGGGCGCACAGCAAGAACATGCACCCTGGAGAAACGCGACTTGCATCACCAAGGAAACGCATCAACAGGCAGCTGAGCAGGACTTGAGCACAAGTGTCACCAATGCTCCCCAAGGTGTGACAGGTGCTCCATCCATGGGGACAAGCCAGCTGAAGAGTGGCACATCAGATCACTGCGACAGAAACTCAACTGAGGGGCGCAGGAGCTGTACCTGTGAGCCGCTTGACAGAACCCAGGTGGGAAGCACAAAGGAAAAGGGCTGGGACAGACAACAGGGCTCCCGCGGGAGAGGCAGGGAGGCGGACGCGAGCATGCAGACCTGAAGGAGGCCCGAGCGGGATGAGCGCTCGAGCCGGGCACCTCATGGCCAGCAGACACCCCAAAGCTTCCAGAGGCAAAAGCACAGCACCGTGGACACGGAGGACAGGCTGGCGCCACCTCCCCAAAGTGCTGAAGGACGAGGGGCCTGAGCCAGCGCTCCCGGGGCACCTACACACTCGCTCAGGGTGTGGGTGGAACCAGAGGCTCCAGAAAGGATGCCCAGGAGAGCTGCACCTGGAGGCCCTCACTGAGGCCATTACTAGAACGGCAGCGTCAGCAAGAAGAAAGACGGATCTAAGAAGCGAGATGCAGGCAGCAACGGCGAGAAAGGACAGAAGAGCTCATGGTGCAGAACAAGTATTGGTCACGAATTTAAACGTTTCCAGGATGGCAGCGAGATTAATTCCACGGAGTTGGCTGGCGTTTGGCGAGGGAGGGACATGGAGGCAGAGAGCCCGTGTGGGCGACCGTACTGGCCAGAAGGCCTTGTGCTTCACAGCACTAGGGGCGACAGGGGTCGGGGGGCAAGAGGGCTCACTGTGACCCCAGGGGGAAGGGCCTGAACCAGCGGGTGTGGTGGGCACTCACTTCGGAAACCGACCAGAGACTCCAACAATTCTCAGTCAGCCAGTCCCGTGACACAACCTTTGCTCAAACCCAGGAGACACAGCAGTTTCTTCCGTGACATGTTAAATGGTGCTCACGAAGGTGTCCCTCAACAGACCCAGGAGCTGCACCACTTTGGGGAGTGTGTAGCCGCCCACGCTGATGTCACTGAAGGACAACACTGGACAAGCTGTGACGGATGGGATTCAACATCCCTTCAGGGGAACACATTTCAACACGCGTGTGGATCTGAGGTGTGGTCTCAGGGACGTGCACTCACCCATGCGTCCATCCTGCGGTGGACTAATCAGGGAGATTCTCGTCGGGCCAGCTGCTATTTCAGGCTAAGCACATAAAGAGAAAAAAGTCGATGACATGTGAGAGCTGCCACTCCTGGGAGCAAGAACCTCCTCGTTGTTAACTAGGAACACAGCTCCTTGGGCTTATCAGCCTGACAAATTCCTGGCTGATGCGGTTTCGAGCTCACGTACGTGGAGGGCAATGCAGCAAGTCCCTGATGCGCCCACTGCCCACCAGGCCACAGCAGCGAGGGGATGAAGGGGTCACCAAGTGCTTGTAAGAATTTTGGCAGAGAGAAAAAGGAAACAAAGTTCTTGGCTGTCATTAGAAATTTTAAAATCTCGAGTAAATCCTCATTTTGGGTGCATAATTTTGTCACCTTGAAATCCAGGTGTTGATGACAGGGGCGTGGTAGTGTTGTTTGCAGGCGGCAGTGTGTGCTGGGCCCTACTCCAGGCCGTGCACAGATGTCAGGGTCACCACCCCTGACTCCCCGAGAGGGAGCCCAGAGGGACAGCAGCTTGTCGGGCTGTGAAGCTGGCGACAGAGGCCACTCTGTACCCAGGGCCCTTCCTCTCAACCACTTGGCAGGGGGGATCTGGGGGCCGGCGGTGGACACAAAGGTGCTGCCAGGAGTGCAGACCAGGTGCTGCTTCTTGCCATCCAACCCTTCATTTCCATGGTCGGTCCTGGCCCCATTCCTGTGGCCCCTCACACTCCCGGCCCCCACTAGTCTGTCCCCAGACTCGGCTACCACCACCACCTGTGGCCCTGCTGGGATCTCCGTGGCCCACCTTCCCAGCTCCTGTGCCCTGGCACACCCACCCCAATGATCCTTTGCTCCACCACCGAGCGGCCTCACTCCAGAGCACAGGGCACCCTCTGCAAACACACCAACCCCAGCTCTGTCTCGGCTCATGCCCAGGCAGATCCCAACCTTGGAGGCACAGCTCCCTCAGGCAGACAGGCTTTGCAATTGGCACTGCACTCCTGGCAGGCCAGCATCCCCTGAACCCTCCACTTGGCACGTCCTCCATCCAGCCATCCAGCCTCCAACCACCCAACCCCTTCTCTCCCCATCCACTTCGGGCTGATACCTCACTCACGCCCAGACAGAAGTTCTGAAACCGGGAGCGTCTCCCCCTGCCATCTGTGCAAACGGCAGGGCTGGCTCCAGTGCGTCCCCTGCCCTGTTCAGGGGTGCTCTCACCGTCACTTCTGTGTCCTTCCCGTCAGCTCCCATAGCTTCCACACAGCTCACCATAAGAAGAGCCCCAACCTCCGAGCCCCTCCCAGCCAGAGGCTCAGTTCTCTGCTGCATTTAGAGTGACTCTCGAGAGGGCCTGTCCTGTCCATACTTCCCCTGGGGGCTCCCCTCCCCATCTGTGGCCGCCCGCCAAGTCGGGGTGCCCAGATGCCTGCCGTCCCCATAGGCCTGCAGCATCTCTGACATAGGCTCTCAGTGCTGCACATGCTGGCTCACGCTGCGGCAGCCCTCTGCACACCTGCTCCTCTTGAGGCCTTGTCCCGGGCTGTCCCCTCATGACTGCCACCTCCAGCCTGTTGTGCATATCACGCCACACACATCCAGTGCAGGCCAACTCCAGCCAACGATGCAGCATTTGAAACTTCAACAGAGAAAAGTTATTTCTACACACGAGGACAAAATCACTAATGTCAGGTAAGAATCAGGTGAACTGTCTCTTCTCACTCTTACCTCCTCACGAGAAAAGACTCTCATTTGTCAGGTCAGTTCTTGAGTGCTCCGGGGAAGAATTCAGTGACAGATGAAGCAAAAAGAATTTAAAGACCCAGAGTGGGGGCCGGCCCGGTGGTGCAGCGGTTAAGTTCGCACGTTCCACTTCTCGGCGGCCTGGGGTTCACCGGTTCAGATCCCAGGTGTGGACATGGCCTGGCTTGGCAAGCCATGCTATGGTAGGCGTCCCACATATAAAGTAGAGGAAGATGGGCATGGATGTTAGCTCAGGGCCAGTATTCCTCAGCAAAAAGAGGAGGGCTGGCAGTAGTTAGCTCAGGGCTAATCTTCCCCCCTCAGAAAAAAAAAAAAAATGACCCAGAGTGCCCAGGAGGATGGCCACAGCCCAGAGGCCTGGCCAGGTGGGCCCAGCCTGGGGGAGGGCACTGAGGTGGCTGTGCGGGGACAGGGTGGTTAAGGTGCTACCGTGAGCACCTCGAGTGAGATGCGCCAAGATGGGGCCTGTGAGGACCTGTTTTCTGGAGTGCGTTTGGGAGTTAGTTACTGTCTAGGGTCTGGGGTGCTGGCTGCTACATTCAGGACTTGAACCGTCACTTGGCTTTCCACTTTGCCAGGTGGCGAGGCCAACATGCAGAGCAGGACCAGGACTGGCCTGGAGCGGCACTGGGAAGCCACGGGGCCTCAGGTGGCACCCACGTCAGCCGCGCTCCGAGGAACGCATCTTCAAGTGGAGGCCCCTAGTTGGTAATCCAGGAGTCACAGGGAAACAGGAGCCGAACACATGCCAAGTGCCAGGAGGAGACGCAGGGCAGGCGGCAAGCGGCAGGAGGAGGTGGCGCCAACAGGCATGGCACTCACCCTCTTCCCATGTGGCCCAGACGTGCCCGTAGAAACGGCCCAGCTCCCTCACGGCTCTCCTGCCCCAGCTGCCCGGGCCCCTCCCGACACCTTCTCAGCTATGTGCACCAAGCACAGAGGCCGGGCTCGGCTTCACGTTCTCCCTCTATCCACAACTTGCTCACAAGAGAATCTTTCCTGCCAGAAAATAAACGCTCTGGAAAGACCCAGAACTTTTGTGATGTCAGAGAAGCATAGAAGATTCTTAAATGGGCAGAAAGGCTTGGTTGTCCAAGGCTCCCTTCCAGGTTATCTGAGGCTCCGGGTCTGTGTGTCCTTGTCCGGGGGCCGCCTATAGCACCGAGCTGCACAAAACAGGCGGCACCAGCGATGTCCCTCGTGGCAGCCGCGGCGTGTTCTGCCTGGTGCTCCGCGCTCTCTCCCAACGGCCGAGGTGCACGCAGTCTGAATCCTCCTCGAAACCAGTCTCACGTTTTACCAGCTTCCTTCATTAATTCGTGAGTTAAACAAAGTACGTATCACTTTCTATTTGTAAGTCACAATCCTGCCTCTAAAAAAACCAAGCTCTGTTAACATTGGCCAGTTGTGGGCAGTACCAAATCCTGTGCTCCTTACGGCTAAAAGCCCTGACTGGGAGAGCCCGTGCCCACGTCCACGGCTGATGTGTCACCAGCATCTCTATCCTCACTTGCAGGTGGTTGGGCATTGGGCGGACAGCAGGCTCTGCCTCTCCCACTTTCTCTCCCAGGACCCCAGGCTCGGCCCAGGGCAACAAGGAGGAGGGAAGACGAAGCCCCTGAGGATGGGCAGGGCAGCTGACCCTGGTGGCATGGCCCCAGGCCTCTCTCACGGGTGTGTGAGGTGGGCACTGTGCCTCCCAGGCTGGATGTGGCACTCGCGCTCTGCTTCTCCAGCAGCCGCCCCGACGAGCAGCCCTCTCTGTGGCCACTCGCCTCTGACAAGCCCTCCGGAGCAGGGGCCCCGCCAAGAACACCCCAGACAACACTCCTCTGGCGGCCCATGGCAGGGGCCCAGAGCCCATCCTCATTCACCTTGAGGAGTGGGGAACTGCCCACTGCTCCACCCCGACAGGCCGGCAGGCCAGAGGGTAAGGCCTGGTCCCACCTGTGCCATCTGGGTGGTCTCCCGCAACCTCAGCTCAAGGTTTCCAGGAGACATCTCTCATTCCGCCCCATTCAGGGCTCCCAGCAGCTCCGCCAAAGACGCCTTCACGTGCACCAGGCCTGGGCTGAGACGGGCTCCAGAGGCAAACAACTGGGTTGACAAGTTTCCTTGAAAACTTGCACTCTGTTCCGGCACAGCGGTTGGCAAACTACGCCCACAGCTGGTTTCTGTCACTAAAGTTTTACTGGAATGCAGCGGTGCCCACTTGTTTCCACACTGTCAGTCAGAGGCGAGCAGTGGCGACAGAGACCCGTCGGTCCAGTCTCAACCGTCTACTGTCTGGCCCCTGATAGAAACATTCTCTGAGATCTAGCCTCGAGCCTCGCTCTGGAATTTCACAAGAGTTCACTACACCCAGGTCCCTCAGCGGCAGTTTCCAAAGTGATCCCAGGGACATGAAGTCAGTTCAGCCTGTTGTCTTCAATCTCAGAACAAGGCCATGCATGGGCTGAGGCACGTGGTCCACCCTCAGGGAGCACAGGTGAGCTCCAGGAGGCCTTCCTCATGAGCTGCTGGCGAGGCATGAAGACGGTGGGGTGCTGGGGTGCAGAGGGCTGCAAACGCCCAGGGCAGGTAGGGGCAGCCAGGGCCTCCCTCCGAGGTGTGACAGAAAGCATGTGCTGTCTGGTAGCACAGCCGACACTGGTGGGATGGGAGGCGTGGGGAGATGAGTGGGCCTAGAGAGGAGGTGTGAGCTCACACCAACCGATAAGGACTGGGTGTCCCCCCCAGTCACAGCACCCCAGCTCACAGCAGCTCTGCACTCCCATCTTCTTACCCTGGAAGCCAGGCTCCCCTGTAATCTGGGTCCAGGAGGGCTCCCCTGAAATGAGCACTGTTTCTCATTAACAAGTCTACACGGTAGGGTCCACCTTACAGGACTACCAGGAAGCCTGAGTTCACATCCACACAGTGCTTGGGATGGCACTATGCAACACCATCCCAAAGCAGGATGTGAATGAGTAAGTCCCCAACACTCACAAGTAAGTGTGCACAGACCACCCTGCTCACTGCTTGCAAGAACTGGCTGCACTTCCTGGCGTGGTTCGCTCACCCTCCCAACACCTGGGCCTTTTTCCTCCCCCAGCCTCTCCACTGGTCACTTCCCCCATCTTCCCAACTCTGGTGCTGGCCCCTGGAGTCAGATGGCGCTCTGCCTGGGCTGGGCGGTGATGGGCTGGGCCTGGTCTCCCTGCACTTCTGGCCACGTCTCCTCTGGGCATGCTTCTCTCCAAGGTGAAGCTGTCGCCTCCTGTTCTTCAGGGCCCTTCACATTTCCAACCCACCTCTTTACCTGGGCTGACAGGATTTATCCTGGTTTTACTCAGCCTGGTTTCCACCATCGCTCCAGCCTGCAGGTGGAGCACAGGGCTGCCAGCCCGGCAGCTGCTTCTCCCCACGCAGCACGGGACCTGCCTCCTGCTCTGACCACAGTCAGGCCCTGAGCAGAAGGAATGTGCACGTAACGGTCGCTCGGGACCTGGTTTACAAACCATATCCCAACTGGCTCACCCCTTGGTCTTACATATGTGAAGAGACACTGTGATCGGTCCACTGTTAAATGAACGGTTACATTTATTAGTGCCGAGAAAAACTGCGAATACTAAGTATCTGGGAAACAAGTGACACAGGAGAACAGACAACTTACTTTCCTCAGTGGGGAAGGAGTGAGGTCAACTTCCATGGACTCCACTCTGTTAAAGAGACAGTGATGCACGTTAACTGGGCCTGGGACTCACCTACGGTGGAACAACGCCAATTCAAACAGACTCACAGTAAGACCCCGTGTGAACATTTGCATCGTCCTTCAGGCCCACGACGCTATCAGACTGCAGGGAGTTACAGACCTGATCACTGGCTTCTCCCTTTTCAAAGCTCTGTGCTGGCCACCCCGTCTGGAAAACACTCATTCATCCACAGGGCACTGAGGCCCTTCCCCCTCTGGCCCCCGTGAGCTCTGGAGTCCGGCCTTCCCATCTCACTGCCTGCACATGCCCGTACCCACTGCCTCCTGGCTCAGACAGCCCCTCTTCTGGTTGTCCATCCCAACTCTTCTTACTCCTGCCCAAACCTCCTGGGAGCAGGAGCACCTTATTTACTTTCGTTAACACTTTCTGCCTGGCACATACATTTTTCACAATTAGTGCTCATTAAGTGTTAGTTTTTTAATTAATTAGCCCAAAGGCTGATGTGGAAACATCATTTGGGCATCCCCGCAGGAGAAAAGAGGCAGAAAGAAAGAAAGAACAGAGGAAGAAAGGAAGAGCGAATCGTCTAAACAACGACTTTCTGAAGGCATGCTAAATGTGAGATGCTGTGCAGCCAGAGGAAGCACCAGGGAAGGAGTGAGGGCGCCGGCCGGGCCCAACTGGCTGCCTTGGGCGACCTCCCACGGGGACCTCCCGGGCTGCACAGGAGCTCAGATCCAGTCACTTCAAGGAAACAACGGTGGAGTAGGAACACACACCAGGGACTGCCCCCTTCAGCAGGGGTGGGTCTGGGTCCCCGCGGTGCCACCAGCACAGCCTCTATTTCCTGCCCTGTTTCCTCTGTGTTGGATCCATTTCCAAGCTGCCTCCCCTAGGCTGGCCATCCTGATCACAGAGGAGAGTCCCAGGGACGATACTCATCGTGCAGCCTGGGTCGTGTGACCACTCCCAAACCAATCACTACGGGCACAGGAACAGACCTGTGACTGGCAGCCTGGACCACACACCTGGTCTGAGGACCGGCACCTGTGGGACGGGCATGCTCCTGAGTACCTGCGCTGACCATCCAGTATTAGGGGATTTCAGGGGGAAGGGATGGGGGGACAGACGCAGGCGTGTCAAAGGCAGGATGTATGCAACTTCCAAACATCAGTCCAGCGGTGTCCACAAACTCTCAGACCAGCCCCACCAGACGCACACACCTTTCAGAGGCGGACGAGTCCGGTGGCAGGAACGGACACCCATGTGGCTGTGCTGAAGGGGCTGTGGCAGAAAGCCCAGCATCAGAGCACACTCAGGGCTGCGCGGGAGCACTTCCCCTCCCCCTCGAGGCGGCGCTTCACTTACTTGAAACTGAATTTCTTATTGTGCTGAAAACCGTCTGTTGTGATGATCTCATACTAAATAGATGGAAAAATGGTATTAATTAAACCATGAAAACTTACTGCCAGTTAATCCATTTCAGTTGAAAGAACAAGACTAAAACAGCTGAACGCTCTCCCTGGCCCCATCCCCTCAGACCCTCCCAGACCCACTCGTCCCACATACATGTCCATAATCCATCCCAGAGATGCTCCCTGAGGACAGGCACGCGGCCTGTGGCTCCCTGACTCTCGAGAGCCCAGAGCAGTACCGAGAACACAGTGGGGCTCAATAAAGGCCTGCTGAGCGACTCACTGACCACGTGGGAGGAGCACCACAGCCTGCCAGATCTCCTGAAGGGCGCATGCACCTGCTTCCAAGTGACTCCGCAAAAAAATGACACGCTATGGGCACATGGGGAGGATGAGCGACAACACCCGGGACAGAAAGCCAGGGCCACGGACACCACTCGGGTTAAAGCTGCATGGCTTTAAGGGCGAGGAGGACACGCACAAACGTGGTCTGGGCCTGCAGAGTGCACGGGCCTCCTCCCTGGAGGAAAACCCACAGGGTGCATCCCAGGAGGACCCGCTGCGAAGCGCCACGATGCCAGAAACGCTCCACCTGGAGCGAGAGTCCAAGGGACACAGGCGGACCGGGACTCCCAAGGACCTCAGAGTCGGGAACTAAAAACTGCCTGTGAGATGCCGCAAGAAAGACGGCAGAAAATAAGCAAGGAACGTGATATAAAAATAACTAGGAGTGTTCTAGAAATGTAAAATTGAGCTGCCAAAGTCAAAGCTTGATGGAGGAGGTGTGCAGCAGCAGAGCTGGAGGGACTGGGCCTAGAGATTGAGGAGGCCACCTGGACGGTCAGAGCACTGCCAGGAGAGTGACACAGCAGGTTACGGGGCCCAGAGACAGAACAAGCAGGCCTGCCAGGTTTGGAACAGGCTGCAGGAGACTGCAAAAGGGCAGTTTCTGAAAAGATAACGGCTGGGAATTCTCCAGAATTAATAAACGACCACATTCCACAGAAAGCAAGCAGGTTACATTCCGAGGAGGATGACTTGGAGCGCGCCCACGCTCAGGCACCGTGTGACGTCGGCCACTCCTCCTGTGAGCTGCGCGGCAGGGTGGAGGGACGGGCGGGCTCGCAGGCACACGAGGTCTCCACTGCATTGTTTTCACAATCCTTTAACAGGTGTGAAAGTCATCTCAGCTCGGGGGCTACGCAACAATGTGCCATGGGCTGGACTTGGCTGCAGCTTGCTGAGCCCCGGAACACACCCTCACGAGGCAGTACCTGCAGCGACGACGGCTGGCAGAGGCGAGGTAGGACAGCGCGACAGACTCTCCCAGCTCCTCCTCCAGCCCATGGTCCTGGGACGGCCACACTAGTTAGCTGCCCAACGCATCTACATGCACTGCGTGGGTCACCCCTGCACACGCAACCAACTAGGCAGACAGCAGCCCTGCAGCGCCATTGACTCTGCAACCTTTAAATAACGTGCAACTCACCAAATCAGGGCTTCTAAATATTCACCACATTACAACACTTAACAGAAAGCTACACTGCATCTCCTAACATCAAAGATGATGTGGAAGGTGAGACGCGCCACATTTACACATGGTGCTAGCTGACCTTGGGTGCGTGATGGCTTCCTCACTGATAACTGGATGTGCTGCGCGCTCATCCTTTCATAAATGCACAATTCCTGGCAGAACGGAGGCTACCAGCTGCAGGTGGGGGTCCCATGGGGCCCAGCCTCAGAGGCCCTCCAGGTGCAGGGCGGTCACTCTTGCAGGCAGCCAAGTGCCTGCGCTCTCCCAGGCCACCCCTATCACCTCAGGAATCACCTGGGGGCCCCAAGGGGAACCACCCATATTTGTTTCACTCTTTCTCTCCTTTTTCTTCCCTTCAGCCTCCCACCGCATTTTTGCTTTGACGGAAGTTTCTAGCAAGTGAAAGTGCTCCTCCTTCTGTTCCCCTGGCTATGACTGAGGCTGCACCTGCAGCAGCGCTTTCTCTAGACCTGAGATGGAGGCGAGGCCTCAGCACAGGCAGAGGCCCCGAGCTCACGAGAACTCACCTCTGCAGCTCTTGGATCCGCAGCACTGACTTCCGGAGGGAGTCTTCCAACTTAGAAATCTGAACACAGTGAAATGACTTCGGTTATCAGATTGTGCAGTGACAGTGCCAAGATGACATGCCGGCCCCCTAAATCCCTTAAACTATGATCAGAACATGAGTTAGTGGGAGCTGCCCTCATCCTGTTTATCCGTGAATTTGCACAGGGGTCACGTCATCAGCTACTTAGGAAACCAGCTGGAGCACAAGGAGGCAGGTTCCGAGCTGGCACCCCCAGCACAGGTGGGGCTGAGACGCGCTCTAGCCCTGGCCGGGTCGTTGTTGGTGTGCCCTGCCCTCGACACGGGAGAGCTGCTGCTCCGTCAGGTTTGGGTCCCTGCCGCGTAGCAGCTGCTGGACCTCCAGGCAATTACATTCTCTGATCCTACATCCACCCCTGTGGAAAGTAGTTAATCCACCTGCCCTCGAGGTCTGCTGTGAGGACTGGGAGGTAATACACACAGAGGCTCGGCCAGGTACCTGTGGGCAGGACTCTGGGCAGGCATAAGGGAAGACGGGCTGTGCCGGGCGAGGGCAGGCTGGACAGCTCCGTGGAGACTGCCTGCAGGGGCTGGGGCAGCAGCCATGCGTCTCCTCTAGGCGACTTGTGCAGACCCATTGCAGGAGCGGCCTGGGGCCCATGAGGAGGAGGGAGGTGGCAGGAGGCACTGTGCATGCAGCCGGCCAGGCCTGGAGCAGCGCCACCCTCACACCTGCACACTCTGCACGGAGGTAGGGGGGGCACTGCAGGAGAGATGGGGTGGCCAGGCAGCTTCCACACTTAAAGAGGTGGCCACAGGATTGCCTGGCTCCAAAGCTAGGTTCCTTACTACACAGCCTCGAAAGGTGTTAAAAAAGGACTTTGATTTAGAAAAACTATGATGGTTGAATAAGGAAGCATCTAAGTTGCCTCCCATGTTCCAAAGGCCCTGATACAGCTCCCGGCCAGGTGAGGGGGATGCCCCGTGGGGTTGGGCCCCAGCCACGAGGAGCTGGCCACCATGGCTGCCCTCCCCCTGCCCCCTCCCCCTGCCCCCCTCATCTACACGTCCCTCCAGGAGACTTTAATCTGAGTCAAAGCTGAGGCTCCAGATTAATGGTGTCTCCATTAAAGCTTTATTTTCCTTCCTATTAGTTTAAATATCAAGTGAGGAGGATATTTACAGGGCAAACAAATGGGCATTTTGAACTTCCTTCTCTGAGGATCAGCGGGAGCAACTTCATAGTTGCCGTTTATGAAAAAGTGCCTACTGGGTTTTGGGGATAACGTATTGAGTGCCAAGGTGAGATCGCCCTGGGGACCACGGTCAGTCCCCAAGAGGCTATGTGGCTGACCACAGAGAGGAACCGTGCGACAGGCTGGGGTCGGCCCTGGGGCCACCACCCTGAGACATGGCGTCGGGCGACAATGTGACACCACAGCAAAGGATCAGAACTTCATGAGGTGACGAGTTGACTGCATTTACCTTTTCTCTATAGAAGGTTAACAGTCTCTTCCTGTGTTTTTCTTGAAATTCTGAAATCTGAGAAGACAACACAGGTCAGCTGCTGACAGGCTCAGGCCACTACTGCAAATTCGGTCCCGGACACTAGGGGCTGGGAGGAAGGGGCAGCGCAGGCTACAGAGCGCTCTGCCCCTGTGCGTCTCCCAGACACTCATCCCCCACCTGCCTGCCGCCCAGACGTGGGCTCCGCTGCAGCAGGGGCTGCCGGCTGACGCCCTGTGCCCAGAGCAGACGGCCGGTACCGCTGGATAATGAATGAGCGAATGAAAGAATGCCGTAGGGCAGACTCAGACACAAATGCAGCAAGGGTGGCACACGCCACGTGAAGACACACAGACACCAAGGGCTGCTCTGCCTCCCTTCTGTGTGGCCTCAGTGGCATTCTGGGCCCTGGCCTCGCGATGCGATGTGACTCATGTGGGCCAATCACAGTGTGCCATCCCCTGGCAACGGTGAGCGGATCACGGGACAGCCTGCTGACCAAACAGCATCGAACAGGCACACCCTGAAACTGGGACAGGGGCTGGGTCTGGGGTGGGGAAGAGCCAACGCAGGGCGTGATGCCCGCAGAGACCGGTAGAGCTGTGAAACTCCCAGAGCCCAGTGACCCTTCCTGGACTCCCAGGGCCAGCAGCACCTGGAACCGGCACCACCCCTGGCCTTCCACTTTCCTGAGCACCCACTTCCATGTGTGCAGTGCATCTAGTTCCCAGGTCCCTGAGGCCACCAACAGACAACAGTGTTGCGAACCATTCAACAGTGCATCTAGTTCCCAGGTCCCTGAGGCCACCAACAGACAACAGTGTTGCGAACCGTTCAACACTGGCCCACAACCACTCCAGGGAGGAAACAGCTATTTCACAGCAGTGAAGTTTGCAAACAATGGCACCTACCCTCTCAAAATGCTACATTGTAACTGCTTAAGCCTAACTGTGGACTGCTCTCTGTGCACAGCAGAGCCGGGTCTGGCCACTTCCTATAAACCCACCACCCACGTCCCTCCCCCTCAGAAATCGGCTGATACACTGCAAACATTAGGGCTGGCTAGCCTCCTCCACAAGGCTCACTGGTCTAGTCGAAGCCAGGGGGAAAAGCCCTCTGTGGAAGGAGGAGGACCCAGCCCATGGCGGGTCTTCACTGCCTCGTCTAAGGCCGCACTGTCTCCAGAAGGTGGGCCTGAGGTCAGGAGTGACAAATGCCCTCTTCACAGTCTCCTACCCCTGGCTCCTGCATCTTCCGAGGGATTCAGAGCTCTCAGGGTCTGGAGGATGTGCCACGTGGGGCTCCTCTGGAGCCCTCCCACTCGCTGAGATGAGGGACCCCGAGTGTCCTCCTGCAGGAATCCTCATGGCCCACAAGGCCACATCCTGGAAAGACTCCCCGACCCCACTGACAGTTTTCATGTCCTGTCGCCCCTTGGATCTGGCTTCCAGGAGAGGGGTTCTGCTGGCAGACACCCACTGGTCCTCACTTCTGGGCCAGTGAAGCCTCACGTCAGCCTGGGACCCACGGATTTGCCTTCTCTTCCCTTTCCATCGCACACTGTGTGGGGCAGCGAGGCAGGGACCAGGCACAGCTGGGAGGAGCTCTGGCAGATCTAAAGCTGCCTTCCCCAGGAGCCTTTAGAGACAAGGCTGACAGTCATGTCTCCTCGGTCTTACTCCTCCATGGGTTCTACACCAGCAGCAAGAAGAGAAAAACGTCACCACTGACCCCTGACCTTGTGTCTTGGTGCAGGGTCCAAACTGAGAAAAAGAAAGTACCAGCATCTGGGAGCAACCAGAGATGGCCGTTCTGGGGTGTCCAGGAACAACCAGTGCCAGCTGTTCTGGGGTGTCCAGGAGCAAATAGGGTCAGCCGTTCTGGGGTGTCCAGGAACAACCAGTGTCAGCTGTTCTGGGGTGTCCAGGAGTGACCAGGGTCAGATGTCCTAGACGTCCAGGAACAGGATGTCTCCAGCTGGCACTTGGGATCGTCACCGTGGAGGCACTGGGCTCAGTAAGGCCTATGCACAGGTAAATGGCTGTTTTTACTCTGGCAAGCCGTTTTTAAACCAGGACCGTGGTGAGAACAGGTGTGCAGGCCCCTGCAACTGGCACAGACGTGACAGGGAAGGCAAGGCTACAGCAAGAACAGGGCCACAGGCAAAGCTGACCCCAGGAGAGAGGCCTGCAGGGGGGACACGAGGCCGCAGAGGGGACCACTCTCACTGAGAGTGGAGTCCTGCAGAGCCTCATGCAAGCTCGGGAGCAGCCTGCACCCCACATCCCTGCGTCACGCATCTGCACTGGGTGGGGACCAGCCTTTGGGCCTTGAGCTTGTCGGCCTGACTCTGACCAGGTGTTGGGCCCCAGAGGCTAAGCTGCCCTGGCTTTGGCAGGGTGTAGACGGTAGCAATAAAACTAAAACGGGTTGAGAGAGAACATGCCTCTTGGATCAAGACAGAGGTACAGCTTGATGAGATTTTTACAAAGCCCAAAGGCTGAGGAAGCCCAGAGGCTATGCTGGACCACTAACCAGCCAGGTTTGTTGGGGACCAAAGAAGGGCTGACCACGCACACACATCCTCTGCCTGCACCCTGCGGGCTAGCAGGAGAATGAAGGTGAAGCGACTGATCACGGTGGAGGGACAGAGCAGCCTCCTCGGGCAGAGGGGCCTGGTCTTGGAGCAGGGCAGGCCACAGGTGACTGTGCTGAGGGGCGGCCAGGAGTGCCCGTCACAGGACGCTCTCCATCCATTGCCTCATTTCGTGTCTCCTTTGCAGAGCAGTGCAGGTAGCCACATTCCGATCAAGCTCCTGGTCTGCAGACGCGATGGTGACCAGCCCTGTCTCGGGGGAGAAGCTGGGCAGATGAGAAAGGGACCTCAGGCCATCAGAAAGGAAGAGTTTTAACGTTATGAACCGCATCAGGAAGGGTGACTGGGGCCCAGAGACCTCTGATGAGGGTTTCAGTGAAGGAACCTGCCATGATCCTCATGCTGGACACAGGCAGGCCCTGGGGCCTGGGCCCTCACAGCGTGGTCTCAGGCCGGCTCGAACCCTCAACGCTACCAAGGAGTCGAAAAAGCTTCGTTTACGTGGGTTTATCTGTCAGTGTTTACTTACTAGAAATTAATACTGAGATAAATCTGATATTTACTAATTCATTAAGAACCAAGTCGATACGTTGATATAAATAAGGAGCTGCAATATCAAATGCTCTGTGACCTTTGCACTTTGAGAGATAGGCACATGATGATGAGATGGTATGACCCAGAGGTGTGGAGGAGGTCACTCGGCAGCTGTCCCTTGGTCCTCTCTCCGTGGCTCGCAGGGCGTGTGGTCTGAGATGGTGGACAGTCTGCCCTGCCTCCTCCTGAGACAGCATGAGGCTCTGCGGGGCCGTCTGGAAACGCCACGTCCTTACCAAGACCGTTCCGGGTGTAGGGCTGCCTGTGTTCTGAATGTTGTGGGTGTGAGGACCTCCCACAGGTCACAAACATGGGTAGCTTCTGGGTCCCACTGCAAATGTGGAGATGGAGGTGGTCCACCTCCCCACATGGCACTCGCCTTGTGCCGACGCTGCATTCTGGGGATCCGTGTATCCCCCTGGGAAGCCTCCCAGGACGATGAGGGACAAACAGGACACTGCGGGTGCTTCAGGCCTTGTCGGAGCCAGAAAGCAGCCTCGCAGAGGAGGGGACAGTCTTGGCAGGCTGGCTGACCATGGTGTGCAGATGGACAAGCCAGCAGGCCGAGAATGGTCATGGTGAGTGCATGCTCTCTCGGCCTACTGCCCCGTGGGAAGGGCCTCAGCAGGAGGTGGCTCTGGCTGCTCCCCGACTCGGCCTTTTCTTCTGTGGTGGTCAGGGCTAGGAGGCAGCCAACAGTGGGTGCTGCACTGTTAACAGAAGAGAGGGAAGCAGGATGGGCTGGGGGCTGGGTGAAGGGCTCCCTTCTCTCCTGGGCAGCTTCCTGGACAGCCTGGTGGACCACAGGCATCCAGTGACTTGAAGGAGGTCAGACATGTGGGATGGAACCTAGGGCGGGCACAGAATTACAACATGAGAGGCTGGGGGTAGGGAGAGAGTGCAAAGGAGCAGAGAGCAGAGGTGAGCTGTGCAGGAGCATGGTGTGCTCTTGGTGACAGGGAGGGTTGGGAAGGAGATGGGAACCACAGGAGCAAAAGGGAGAGCACATAGGATGGAGGGGGTCTGGGAGTCATCAGCCCTTGGGGCCGAGAAGGTTCCATGACCCTCAGGGAAGGACAGCTTCATGCAGCAGCCCGCTGCCCCGAATCCAGACAGTCCGGACTCAGGGGCCCTTCCAAACCTGAGATCCTAGGGTCCATGTCTTGGATTGTGAGGATCAGGGGGTGTCCTGACCAAATGACCACATCTCCACATACCAAAGGCACAAACAGCAACAAATGAACAGAGCAAGCAGCGCCATCACAGTGAAGACAGCACAGATGGCAGGAAGACTCACTGGTCACACATCTCAGAAGGGACTGGCCTCCAGACCGTGTGAAGTATACGGGCTCTTTTGAGATCATTTACCCTGGGTCATCACAAACCAAGTCTCCAGGACAGACTGGCAGACAGGAGTTCTCCCGAGCAGGGAGACAGCACGGCACAGCTCACCTGCGAGGTCTCCTTCGAGTACTTCTTACACAGACCGTCAATGCCCATGAAGAGCGCCTGGATGTCTGAGTCAGTCTGCAAGAGAAAGCAAGCCACTGTCCACGCGCTGCTTCTAGAACATGCTCGTGGCCACTCGTGAAGACTGTATTGCAAGATCCAGAATTGACTGTGAATGACGCAGACAACTGCATGTCGCAAACTGTCTCCACGAGGCGCTGGAGGGACGCCCACTGGCTGAGGGGCAGCACCACCTCCTGCAGGACAGAAGGGCAGTGCCAAGGGGCTCTGGGCGCCACCTGAGGGCAGCATGGCCTGGCAGTGGGCCGAGCCCTGTGGACCTCACATCCTCTATGGCAAGGTGAGACACATCCCTGCTCAGAAGACTCAAGGAGGCCAGGAGTGAAAGCTGGGCTCAGGGGAAACAGTAAAATCAGGAAAAGAGCTGTGCGTGCAGCACACAACTAGTCACAGGCATGTGCTAAATTATTTACAAAGCAGATATGAGGTACTTCGGGAAAAACAGGGTTCAGGAAATGGTGTCAGCTTCCTCTTAATCCCTGTGCAGACCTGCCCTGCCTCCCTCCGACCACATCAGCACAAGACGTCAGGGAGACAGCCAGCCCAGGGCCTGAATGCAGCATGAGCTGCCAGCAACCAGAAGCACAGGAGCGCCTGCACAAGGACACAGCAGAGCCGGGAGGTGCAGGAAGAGCTCCAGGCCCTCCCCACACGGGTCTTTGGTTGGGAACCATCAGGCTGATAACGCGTCAAGATGGCAATTAAAGCCTATCCACTTATTTACGAGTGCTCCCGCAATGCCACTAAAATGGCAATGAAACTCGATTTAGGGGAAAGTGGTCAGTGGTACAAACTAGGAAATGCACCTTGAAGGCCCACGGCCTCACGGAGTGGAGGAGAGTGCAGAGGAGCCAGGCAGGGGAAGCACCTCCAGGACCCACTCCTGGGCCTTCTGGGGAGAGGCCAAGCAGGGCATTGGGATGGTGGGGCCCTGGAAGTGACCATCCCAAGGCCAGGCAGTGTGCCCATGGACAACCAGCTCGACCTCTGACCCTGGCATACGCCTGGAACCTGCGAACCTCTGTGCCCCGAGTGTAACAGAAGTAGACACGGTGTCCCCGGGCTGCGGTGGGACCCTGTAACACAAGAGGGAGCAGTGTCCCACAGAGTGGGGCCCAGTGTGGTGCTTGGCGTACCATACGTACAGCTTACGTAACAGTACCATTACTGTTACGTAAAGATATGCTCCACATACACAGATGCACCCAAAACAAGACGATTAGCTCCGTGGACCAGGAATGGAAGCAACCGGAAATGGAGTCACCCACCTACCAGGATCTACAGCCTTCAGTGAGGGGGAATAAAATCATCCTACGTGGACAGAGACCCTGCATGGGACAGAAGAGGCGCGGGACATCATTCTACTCGGGACACAGCCTCCGAATGGAATAGGAGGGTACTGGGACAGAATGGCCAAGACGTCCCGTCTAACAGACGACATCATGGACAGACAATGAGATCTCCAGGAAGCCAAGCAGGACAACTACAAGACAACCACTGTCACACGAACCATAGCTACACTGTGGAAAATCAAAGATAAATAAGGGAGGGATATTATCAAAGCACTAAAAATTAGCACTAATTTTCAATAAGGAATTCTAAACCCAGTGAAAATAAGCTTCAAAGTGAAACAACAAAAGAAGCCCTTTTCAGACAAAAAAACCCTGAGAGAATGTGTCACCAAGAGGCCTACACAGAGGAACTAACAGGAATTCCGTCCAGGTAGGACAGTGCCCTGGCTGGCAGCCTGGAGTGGGAGAAGTGACGAGCACGGCAGGGCATGTGGGATGGTGAGGGACTGTGAGCCACACGCGGCTGCAATGAGCAGTGACGGCGCTGGAGGCAAGGTGAGGAGGGGCGTGTGGAGGCGGGCACAGTCAGACAACCCGACCTGAAGCCCAGGTATAGGTGGCTGTCTCAGGGTCGCAGGGACGAAGGTGTTCATTCTCCCAGTGCTGCTTACGCTCCCATTGTGAAAAACTCACCAAGCTCACGCTTTCAGTACTATACTTCAGTAGAAGTTAGCAAAAATGCTAACAAAAATCCCCAACTATTTCTAAATCCATCCACCTCCATGTGGGTTACAGGAGCAACTGAGTAAAAATTTAAGTTATTTTGAACTGTAAGATAATGAAAATATAACACAGCCAAACAGACAGAATGCAGGCAAGGATGAACACAGAGGAGAACTTACATCCCTATAATGTAAACATTAGAAAGGATAAAGAGAATTAACAAATAGAGAACGAGTGTAAAATAAAGATAAACAGAGCCAAAAATTAACTCTGAAAATACTAAAAAATTGATAAACTCTTGGCAAGACTGCTCAAGAAAAAAGAGAGAAGGCACAATAACCACTATTAAAATAAAAAAGGGCGGCCAGCCCCGTGGCTGAGTGGTTAAAGTTCTGCGTGCTCTGCTGTGGTGACCCAGGTTTGTGGGTTCAGATCCTGGGTCTGGACATACTCCACTCATCAGCCATGCTGTGGAGGAGTCCCACATATGAAGTAGTGGAAGAGTGGCACAAATGTTAGCTCAGGGACAATCTTCTTCAAGCAAAAAAAAAGAGAGGAAGATTGGCAACGGATGTTAGCTTAGGGCAAATCTTCCTCACCAAAAAAAAGAAAGAAAGAAAAAGGGACATCATTACAGATCTTATAGACATTGAAACTATGAGAGGACCACAAACACGTTCAAGGAGATTTGAAAATTCCAACAAAGAGCACAAATTCCTAGAAAAATACAACTTAACTCAAGGAGAATTAGGAATTCTGAGTCATCTCATATCTGATAAATTAAATCTGTAGTTAAATATCTTCTAGGCTCAGATAGCGTTACTTGTGAATTCCAACCCCAATCTTACAATCTTCCAGAGAATAAAAAAATAAAAAGAATTTCCACCTTCTTCTGTGAAGCCAGCACAACCCTGATTCAATAAAACTTGAAAAGGGCATTATAAAAAGGGAAAATTACAGGCCAGTTTGCACACGAACACAGGTGCAAAAAAATCCTAATTCCTCTATACCTGCAAGCTACACTGCATCACAGCCAAGCTGTATTCATTCCTGAAAGCTAATGTAGGTTTAAAATTCTAAAAACAAATGCAATTCACCACTTTAACAAAATAAAGTAGAAAAATCAAATGATAATCTTAATAGTTACAGAAAAAACATTTGATAAAATTCAACACTGTTCATGATAAAAACCTTTGCAAAAAGCCCAGGGGGCACATAAGCCTCCACGGTGAAATGCTGGAAGCTGGACCCTGGAGTCAGGAGGTGGCGAGGGTGCCTGCAGGTGCCACCATCCCCACTCCACAACGGAGTGGAAGTCCTCACCAGTGACGTATGGGAAACAAGGGCATAAGGACAGGAAGGAGGAATAAAACAGAAATAAACATTCAGAGGCAACACGACAGCGTACAGAGTCTAGGAAACCTACAGATAAGCCAACAGACTCATCCAGTAAACGCAGCAAGGTCATTAGATACAAGTTAATAAACAAAACTGCATCTTTACACACCAGCAATAAGCACTTGAGACAAATTAAAGAAATGACGACAGCAGCAGCATCCCAAATGATCAACACCTGAGAATAATGCTAACAGTGACGTACAAAACCTCTATACAGAAAATTATAGTCATTTTGAGAGAAATCAGAGCATATCTCAACAAATGGAGACCAGTGCTATGTTCATGGACTGGAAGAGTCAGTATTACATACATGTCTACATTATTGATACCTACATTATAGATTAAGTGCAAATCCAATAAAAATCCCCACAGGACTGTGTGTGTGTAGAAACTGACAGGTTGATTGCAAAACTTACATGAAATGCAAAGACTAATGCAGGCTAATTGGTGTAACAGACAGCTCCCCAGTCTCAGTGGCTTAAGGGGGGCATTTGTTTCCTGCCCGTACAACAGCTGAAGACCGTGCTTGGTAGATGGCCTTCCATGTGGGGCCCAGCCTCCATCAGCAGCTGTGCTCTGCTCAGTCCTCAGCATCCAGCTAGTGGTGGGGGTGGGGGGTGAGGGTCTCCAGAGGTTGTTTTGGGGGCCAGGCCTAGAGTGGCATTTCTCAGGGGAGGCAGGTGGGGAGAAGGAGTCTAGCTGGGTGCCCAGGAAGAAAGGGAGCAGGGCTAACTAAGGACAGTCCCTCAGCCAGGTCAGTCTGCCGTTCTGGTTGCTGGTGTCTACTTCTCTTTCCCTACACAGAAAAGTACTCCCCCAACCCTGCGGAACATTGCCAAATGCCTCTGTCACTGTGTCCACACCCAGCCCAGGGGCTTGGGTGGTACGTGGTACCTTCCTTCAAGTCCCGATCTAGTCTGCAACCTATAAACTAGGCCAATCCCCACTGTGACCAACGTCTGACTGGGGGACTGGGTCACCACAACTGAATCAACACCCCCAATGGCAAGGGGAAGGTGAGAACCCTGCAGGTGAGTGTCCTGGGGCTCCTATCCTAGGGCCGTCTTGATTAGATTGGTCTCTGCAGTCCAGGGGAACCCATTTCCAGCCCCTGGTTCTGCCCACTGGGGGTTCTTCCTCATCTATGGCTCCCCAAGGCCCCGAGTGAAGGAGGTGTGAGGTAGTGTGCCCCGATTGCTCAAGACTCTCTCCAGGTCTCATTTCCTACCACTTGGAGTCCAGAAGCAATCGGCTTCTCCAGTGCTGGGGGTCCTTCACCTCCTTATGGAAGCCATTCCTCTCCATCTCTGCCGGAGAACCAGAAAGTTCTAGCCCCAGTGCGCACCCCTTTCCTGCCCGCATATCCTGCTCTGTGCCTTTGCCAAAGGCTTGTCCTAGAGGCTCGGCTGTCTCCCAGGTGCCCGCAGGCTCCCCAGGTTCTGTCTTTCCTGCTTCCTTGCCACTCACCACCTGACAGATAAGGCAGTGTGCTATTTTGTGTGTGATGGTAACGGCCCATTTTAACAGCAAATAAGTCAACTGACACACATATGTCAGTGGTACCTATGCTGAGGAGTAGAAGGAAAAGGTGCCAGGCAGGGAGAAAGTCCCAGAGGTGAGCTTGGCCTGTTAAGATGTGCTCTATTTTAACGAAAGAAAACCCGACCAGATAGAAACATCAGGGGCACTGCATTTTGCAAGGATAAGCACTACTTTGTGAAGCTTATTTCACATGTGTGCACACACACGGATGCATGCACACGCAAACGCACACACACGGAGTATCAACGGTCAAAGAAGCCACCGTCACACACAGCCGTTGGCAAAGACCTGAAGGCAGTGGGGGGAGACAGAACATTCCAGGGCTGGGAACTGAGGTGGAAGCAGCCCAGCTCCAGGAGCAGCGGAAGGTCAGAGTGGCTGGCCTCGGGACTGGGTGGCCACCAGAAGCCAGGTTACAGAGCTATGGGCACGTGGAGACTCGGGTCTTACTCCTGGAAAGCTGAGACGCACGTTTCAGCAGGCCCCTCCAGCTGCAGGGTGAGAACAGACTCGAGGAAGCAGAAGCAGGGAGGACAGCCCTTAGCAGTCGAAGCAGCAGGTGCCTGTGTGGGGGCGGAGCAACCAGAGAGGAAGAGGTGGATCCTGAAGACGTGGCTGGAAAAAGAGCCCACGGAATCTTCTGATGGTTCAGAGCACGGGTGTGAGAGAAAGAGAAGTCACGAAGGACTGTCACCTTTTAAGCGACTTCCCTCTCACACACACTCAGACAGAGAAGAAAAGAAGGCACACCCGCAGAACTTCAACACCTACCATGGATTAAGCCACAACAAAAATCCTGATAATTAAAAAAAGAAACCAAATAGCCATGGTCACTGGTCACAATGCCATAAAACTAAAACTGTGCCACAAACATGATAGTGGAGATACAATCCAACCACTTGGAAATTAGAGAATATTCTTCCAAACAATTCCTGAGTTAAAAAAGAAGTAAAAAGAGAAATTAGAGATGATTCAGAAAGGATAAGAAAAGGGCTGGCCACGTGGCCGAGTGGTTGGGTTCATGCACTCTGCTTCGGCGGCCTGGGGTTTTGCTGGTTCAGATCCTGGGCGCGGACATTGCTTATTGGGCCATGCTGAGGCAGTGTTCCACACAGCACAACCAGAAGGTCCTACAACTAGAATATATAACTATGTACTGGGGGGCTTTGGGGAGAGGAAGGAAAAAAAAAATACTGCTAACAGATGTTAGCTCAGGTGCCAATCTTTAAAAAAGAAAAGAGAGAAAGGATAAGAAAAGCAACACTGGAAATGATGTGGACTGGCAGTGAACAGCAAGAAACGATGGTCTTAAATAAATTCAATAGAAAATGAGAAAGAAAATAATGAACTAAACATCAACCTGAGAAGGCAGAGAGAGGCTCAGGGTGCCTTCTTCCTCAACCGCAAGTCTCAGCAACTGTGCAAGAAGCAGAAACAGTCACTGGGGCTGCGAGTGCAAATTGCACATATCTGGGGGAAATAAGGCACTTTCTATTAAAAATGTAAATGTTTAAATATTTTCCCTTGCTTTTCCATTCCTACAGAAATATTCTTAAAAGTATGCAGAGATATTGGTAAAAAAAAAAAAAAAAAAAAAAAAGCTGCACTCTAAGAGTGTCTGAAATAGTGAAAAACTGAAAAAAACCAAAGGTTTTCCGACGGGAAAATAGTGAAGTCCTATGTGGTCCTTTTCAAGGAGTGTGAGTGTGCCCAAAATATAAAGTCGACTGAGAAAACCCCATTTTTGTAAAAAAAATCACAGTAACACACAGAGAGCAGGAACGACAGGCCTGGCTGTGTCACCTTCGGGAAACAGGACCTGGGGGACTTCCGCCTTCTCCACTATTTTTCTGTACTGTTTGCATCCTGTGTAACTTTGTACAATAAGTGTAACCAGAAAAAAACAATTGCTACAGATGAAAACATTACTCAAATACACAGCTGGGAGCCTAAGTGTAAAGAGAAGAACTATTTGTAACTAAGTTTAAACCAAACAGGCTAAACTGTGGTATTTTACACAGAGAAGGAAAGACACTGTCTAAACCTCCTGTAACAGTAATCCACTTCAAACTCGCTTTCTGAAAAAACCTCTTAATTAGATGCGACCCCTATGAAAAACCAAACTTGATCACCTTCTTAAGGAGCTTATATTGCACTCATCTAGTCACAACCCATCTCCATTTCCAGGAACAGAGCACAGCAAACTATGAACAGAGCACAGCAAAGTATGAACAGGGCCAATCTATGGTTAGGAAAGAAAGTTGTAGGAGATATTCAAAACCAAATTCTAATTGTCCTTCGATTACTCAGAAATCTTGTAAGATGGAGTTAACCTAGCAAAATGAATGAAAACCTTAGACACTACAAATGACTAAAACTTCAATCTCAAATTTAAAAGGAAACACTGTGATTAACATTTAGATACTACAGATTTCAACTCACGTGTTTTGAAAGTAACACTGTACGACAAGGAACTTTACAAATCACGCATTCGTCCTTTTTACCTACAAAAGGAAAGAAAATTTTATTAGATTACAGTGAGCAGTGCTTTTAAGCACATATAAATGCAGGCTTTAACTTACAACACTTCTTCAAAACATGTACAGGATTAGAGCACTTACATGTTTTCATGTCCAGACAGTGGATGAGACTGTGAGTATGGATACAGTTGGAAAGATTTGTACAATTAACAATCCTTTTTTTTCCTGCTTTGCAAATATTCCCCAAAATCATGACCACAAAGATCAACAACACTTAAACTTAAATCCATCCCAGATATTTCTCACAATTAGATTTTACAGTAATATCTTAGTTTAAAATTGTTAACTATTCAAAATGAAAACAGCTCCTCCTACCCCACCTAACAGATGAAGTGAGCTGTGTGCTGCCTTGGCCTCAGTCCTGCAACACCATGGACAGTCACGCATCCACGCACCGGATAAGCTTTTTCTAAGTGTGTCTTGAGCTCCCTGGAAGGCAGTGCGAGGACCTAAGAATGAAAGGGTACTATGTCCTGCCTGCTAGCATCCAGCTAACTCACCCGCCCTTTTCTGGGGTCTCTGCCCCAGACCCCAGTGACCTTAGCACCCATTTCACTATCTTCCTCTCCGTGAAATTCTACTGATCACCCTGGAGACCTGCACCCCTGTGGGGCTGGCCACTAACGTCAGCCTCGCCTGCCCTCCACACTGGCACCTTCTCCCACAACCACAGCCTGGACCATCAGAGCACCCAGTGTCAGAAAACTCAGAGCTCCTACCTCCTCGTCCACCTTTCTTGCTTCCAGCTCTCCTGTGCGAGCAGCAGAGCCTCTCACCCTGGCTCTGCCACGTCCTCACACCCTCTGACCTTCATTTCTTCACTAACCAGCCTGGAGCCCAGCGCCGACCCGTCAACATGGCAGTCTCCTCATCCCTTGTCCTTCCAGGCAGCATACCCAGCCCAAACCTGGGGCGTTCTTTCTCCCTCTTCTGGTCCAATGCAGCCGAGAACAGGAAAAAGTCACCTGAGAAGTGGATTCACAGATTTGTGGATGCCAACACTGCTGAAGCTGCAACACTCATGGGCAACCCTCCACTTTTCTTGGGTGTTTCCCCCCAATGGGGGGATGCCTATGGGGGATGTTCAAATAAGTCCCCTCATGTTACCTACTGGGAGAAAAGAAGGCCCCAGTCATGACCTACCTCAATTCCCCTGCCTCTCCTCCTCTTGCCTGGCACAGAACAACACAATTCACTGCCTCCTTCCTCTCCGTCTCGGGAGACATCCTCTATGGGCTAAGCCGAACCCTGCATCTGTGTGTTCACCTCACCTCCTACCCACAGCACACAGGATGGGGTCCTTGTGTGGAACAAGTGGGTCCCCTTTCCTCTTTTCCCACAAACACATGCAAGTTGCCCCCTCCTGGAAACATCCACCCTCAGCATTGTGTTCCTGCCCTCCATGTTGCTACTGCAACTCTGGAGCAAGGACATTCCCCTTGTGCACCACCACAGCCAGAAACTGTGGAGTCAAAGATTAACAGACTGGACTCCTAAAAATCCAAAAGTTCTGTTGGGGCCGGGGTAAGTAAGAGACACGACAAAGAGAGAAAGTCGTTTGCAGTTGATAGGCAAACCAATATTTGTACTTAATATGTGAACAGTGCTTACAAACCAATTAAAAATAAATGCTCAAATAAAAGGGCGTGAGAGAACTGGAATGAGCAACAGCAAAAGCGCAGATCACCAATAACGGATAAAGTGAGATCCAGACCACCAAGGAGAGATGCAAAAGGGAGAGGGAGCTTGTCAGCCAGCACTGGGGACGCAGAGTAGCCACCCCTTCGGGGGGCAGTTTGGTCGTATGTGCTGGTTTTAACACACACACCCCCAGCCTAGCAATTCCACCCCTAAGAATATACCCAAACGGCAAAAATCAAGTAAGTGAACAAGTGCTAAAGTGGTTTTTAACAGCAAAATATTAGAAAATATAAGTGTCTTTTAGTAGGGAGTCAGTTAAATAAATTCTGGTAAAGCAACTAGAAGATATTGTACACAGCCTTAAAAATGATGATACAGACTTATTTTAATATGCAAAAAGGTCCATGTCCTGTTAATAAAAGCAGGTTACAAAATGGTATACATTTTGTTTTAAAAGCCCGTAACTATAGGAAAAAGTGTGAAAGGATATGTAGCAAAGCTTACGGAGGACTCATCTCTAGTAACAGGTCACTGGGCAGCTAGGGAGCCACGGTCAGTGCTTGCCCAGAGCCCCATCCCTTTTCACTGTTTGCTGTGTGTTCCTGCGTCTGTGGCTTCTGGAGGAATGACCTTGGACTCCTGGAACCTGCTTCCACCTCAGGCTTCAAGAGCAAGAGCACCTGGGAACCACCCCTGGCCCCGGCCCTGAGCCAGTCCACAACGGGCACCCGGGGCTGGCTCCAAAGCCAGGGCACGTGAGCCTCTGCCTCGCCCCTCCCAACACTGAGCGCATGCCCCACACCACCGTCCTGCAACACTGCCCAAAGGCAGCCACATCGCTAAACCCAGTGCGTGCTTCCAAAGCCCAATTCTTTGACTTCCCCCAGTCGCCTAGTTCAACACCTCCACTTTCTTTTTCCCCAACACACCTTCTTTAAGAAGTGCTCTTCCCAAGGCGATACCACGTTCTAGCTTCCTCTGCCTTTGACCCTCTCCTCGTTCTAGTATTTCTAATTATTATCTACATGCTAATGGCTCCCCAAATGTGTTCCTGGCTGTCTTGACTCCCAGACCCATATACACATCTGCCTCCTCAGTGTCTCCCCCGGGACGGCTCTCACCAGCACCTCAGTGTCCGAACACGAGCTCCTGAGCCTTGCACTCAAACCTGCTGTCTCCTCTCCAGTGCTCTGTATGGCTGTGAAAACCGAACTGCTGACCCTCTCCAGCTCCATAGGTCAGAAACTGAGCTGCCTTCCTGGACTCAAGTCTGCTGAATCCACCTAACTTCCCCAAACCCACCGCTCCTCTCCAGCCCCACAGCGCCATCCCGACCCGTCACCTCTCACCTGCTCGACTGCACAGCCTCTTCCACAGTTCCCATCTTCCGCCAGATGAGGCTTCGTCCAGCCACCACTTTTCTTTCTAAACACACACCTGGGACTCTGCCACTCCAGTCCTAAGTATACCCAACTGAAACGTGTCCCTGTGCTCACCCCAAGACGCCAACAAGAGAGCTCCCAGCAGCACCAACAGTAATAAAAACCAGAAACCACCCAAGCGGCCATCAACTGCAGAACCGGCCAATAAATCAGCGTATACCATATATTGTCACACCCTGAGGCAGTGAAGGTGGACGCAGGCAACTGCCTAAAACACACAGATGAAGGTCACAACGTAACGCGAAGTAACAGGAGGCAGACACGGGGAGGGAGAGCGGGCACGGCTGTGCGAGCCGTCTCCCGAAGTCCACACCGTGTAAGGTGACGATCACGGCTGGAGGTCAGGACAGCGGCCTTCCTTGAGGGGCTGCGAGGGCACGCCGACATTCTGTCTCAATCTGCGAGCTCGGTTCACAGGGGAGCTTACTTTGTAAAAGTTCATGGTGTCTTGCATTTATGCTTTTGTCCCGTGTAAGCTGTACACTTTGACAAAAAAGTTTCACAGAAAGAAGCACACCCCTGTGGTCATGTCCCCGCCCTGCTGGCTTCCCGCCGCCCACGGGGACGGGACCGCCTCCACCGGCCCCAGCCCCCCGCAGTCGCCCCGCCTCCTGCCGCCCTGAGCCTGCGGCGCGTGGGCCTCGCCCCGGGCCCGTGCACCCCCCGCTTCCGGGTCAGGCTTCGCGCAGCTTCGCTGGTCCCGGGCCCGCACGCGTCTGTCACAGCGTCCCGGCGACAAGGCCTTCCGAGGACAGGCCCGCCGCGCTCCAGGGCCGGGCGGGAGGACGGCGCCTCGGCCGTCAGCGCAGTCCCGCAGGGCCCGGCCCGCCCCTGTCCGCTGGGAGGCACGGCGCCCACGCCCCGGCCTCGCCGCTGGGGCCTCGCCTCCACCGGAGCAGCGTCCCCGAAGGCCCGGCCCCCAGGAGGCCCCCTTCCCAGGCCGCACCCCGCCCTGACCTTTGCCCAGGCAGCCCTCGCAGTACACGTGGCCGCAGTTGGTCAGGCTGAAGCACGCCGTCTGGCGGGGGGGCTGGAAGCAGCGGTTACAGAACACCCAGCTGGCCATGCTGGCCAGCGTCCACGCCGCCAGGCCCCCGCCAGGCCCGCCCGACGGCGGCGACTCCGCGCCTGCGCACTCGGGGGGGGGGGGGGCGGTCGGGTCTGCGCCTGCGCGAACTCCAGGGCGCAGTCCCACGCCTGCGCACCAGAGCGTGGCGCCGCTCCCGCCAAAACCCGCGCGGTGGAAGGTACCAACTCAGGAAGGGAGGGGGGCTTGAGTTAGGTTTTCCTCCCTGTGGGTTGTTTAGCTGGACGTCGGGAGGAGGAACAGGCACAGGAGGACCTGGCCTCCCTCCATCATGCAGTCCCCGTGATTCTCCTGTGAGCGGAGTGCTGTAGTCCAGGCGCCCGCGAGCTGCCCCCGTGGGTGCTTCGGGACCACGGCGCAGGCGCAGAGGCTGCTGTGTCGCCAGGCTTCTCCCGGCTGCGCGCTGAGGGCCGGGCGGGCATGTGCAGTGCCTGAGGCGAGTGGCCGCAGAGAGACCGGATGTGCGGCGGTGGGCCGAGCGGACTGCACCAGGGTGGGCCAGGTGGCCCTCCCATCGGAGGTGGAGGTGGTGGGAGCAGACCAGGGGCAAGGGGCAGATGGAGGGAGAGTCCTGGGGACGGGGTGGATGGAGAGAGGAGACACGGGGACGGGTGGATGGAGGGAGGAGATGGGGGAGGGGGGGACGGGGCGCATGGAGGGGGGAGACGGGGGGACGGGCCCCCAATGCCTTGCATAAGAGATGGGAGGGGAGGTTACTAGGGACCCAGGCAGCTAGAGTGGGAGACAGGGGTGACTAGAGAGACCAGAGGCTCTGGAAGCGGGCACCAAGGGGCCTGGGCAGAGTGAGGTGGAGTTTGGGAAGCTCTGGGGGTGGGGGGACTAGGAGCACCAGGTAGACCAGGATGGGGGCACCAGGTGGACTGAGAGACCAGGAGGACTGAGTGTCCAGGGAGCGATCTGCCTGGGGCCTCGGGCCCACTGGTGGACCACATGCTAGAGGTGGGCCAGGCCAGAGGCCGCTGCTTGCCTCTAACGTGCTTGCGTGAAAGGCCTTGATCTAGAGGACATTATTTCCCTTTTAAAAAGTAATAGATGGGGGAGCGGGGGAAGGGATTCTTTGTACTGTTTTTGCAACTTCCAGTGAGCTTATAATTACTTCAAAATTAAATTAAAAGAAAATAGATGGAAGTTGCTTTTCGGAGAGTTACGCTCCTTGTGTGGTTCCCCATCCATGGCTTGGAAGAGCAGAGTTTCCGTCTGCATCCGGGGGCGGGTCAGACAGTCTCCAAGGCCCAGTGGGGACCAAGTGAGAAAACTTGGTTCAGAGAAGCTTCTGGGCCATTTACTTTGTGAAGAAAAGTTGCCATCTTTCGGGGAAATAGGAGAAAGAGATTTGGCATGCCTCTTTCTGAGCGGAAGGATGCACTCTCTCTGTCCGCTACTGTGGCTCTGGACCTCATGTGGCCTTTGAGCCCTGGAAGTGTGGCTGGTCCAAACTGAGATGTGCTTTGAGTGTAGAATACACCTGGACTTCCAAGACTTCATATCAAAAAAGGAATGTAAATAATTTTATACAGATTGTGTGGTTAAAATGTTAATATTTTTGATGTATTGGGTTAAATATGTGTCACTAAGGTTAAAAACCTTTTTAGTGTAGCAACCAGAAAACTTAAAACTTATGTATGTGGCTCACATTTTATTTCTATTGGACTGTGCTGATCTATACCGAGTTCAAGATGAGAACTGAGGGATGTGCTTATTCTCTCAAACTCCGAGGCTACATTGTTAAAGTAACATTTTATCAGTGTTACAATGCTGTGACATTAATGTCAACCCCTGATGTCTTTGAAAGCATAAAAGTAATACACACTTGTGAATGTATCTCGATTTATTAACTCAAACATTGTGCCAATTAGCAGGTGGTTGTTTGTCTTTATTGACATTTTAAACAAGCTTCTTAGCTATAAAGAAGTCTTTAAGGGACTTCATTTGGAAAATTCCAACTGAGATAAAGATTAATGTTTGTGCAAAAGCCCACCATAAAACATTGCTATTTGTATCTTCGCTGGTCATTCGAAAATTTTCTTCACGGTCCTGTGCAGGAAGAGAAGAGAAATAGGCGGAGTTAGTTTCTTAAAGTACTTAATGTGTGAATTTGAGGGGAAGGTGCTGTATGCATTCAATGTATTTAGTATTTCACAATTAATCTCTTATACCAAAGTGCAATATCTGGTTTTCTAAGCCAGGGTGCGTTGTTAGCCAAAGGCAAGGAGTAAGAATCAACCTCATGAAACACGTTTTTGTATATTTGTGTAAAATATCAGGTATTTGATCTATCACTTTACACATTTTGTTTGTCACCATCAAGCAAAGTGAGCATTAACCAATAGTGGTCAGTTCTCATCATTTGAGTCCTTACTTTAAGCTGGGCACTGTGCCAAGCACACTCGTCTTCATCCTAATTTCCAGATAAGGAGACTGAAACTTAGAGACGTCACAAGGTTATTGAGTGGTGGAGCAGCTTTGGGCCCACATCTGACCAGAGTCTGCTGAGCACAGTGATCCGGAAAGCACGAAATGTCACAAGAACAAAGTTGTGATTTCCCAAGTGGGAGTTCTGAGCCTCTTCAAATATGCGGGTGTGTTTGGAAGCCCTCATGTATTCATTCTGTAAGCTCGCACCCCAAGGCGAATGAGCCCCAGTCCCCCTTCCTGGAGCAGCTCCTGGTCCAGCAGACAGTGAGAGACCGCTCCCTCCCCACTCCCTGCGTGCCACACAGTCCAAGCTCGGAGAGAAAGACGGAGGAACAGGCAGCTTGTTCTTTCCTTGGTTTGGGGGCTTTGACTCGAGAATTGCTTTCCTGGCAGGAAGAGATAAAATAAGCTGAATAAGCAAACTGACCCTTTGATAGTTTTGTTCTTTGACTATTTGCTCAATTTGCTCAATTAGATGTTCAAGCTTGAAGCTAACTTCATTAACTTTGTCCTTTGCTTGAGCAATGGCTGCATCAAGGTCATGTTCTCCGACTCGAATATCTAAGTGGATCCGCTGTACAAATGGTAAAGAGGAAGACGCGTGTTCACAACAGCCCTGCTCTTGCCTCTCTCCTCCCGTCCCTCTCTGCTTTTTCTCTGTCCCCCTTTTCGAGAGCAGGCATTGCTTCATTCTCCTCTCCTGTTTGCCTCACTGCCACTGTCCCCATTACCCTCGCTAGTCTTTCTTTGTAATAAAAATGCATTAAATGGTGACCTCCTGACCTGAAGGAGTAGTTACTCCTTCCTGAACATCAGATTCACTATTAGGCAAAAATGCCTTTGGTGCTGAGAGAATTTGACTACTTGCAGGAAAATTTTCTTTATGTATAGCTAAATTTCTGCTGCTAAGTACCAATTCTCTTCATCTGTTCTCAGCACATTTAGAAAATAGCTGATCACCATCTACCATGTAAGAGTTTTATTTATTGCAATTCCATTATTAATTCACCCTTCACTTGTTTTCAAGCCTGAATAATCACAGTTCTTTTCACCTTCCCTCACAGTTCTTATTTTTCAAGCCCTTTAATCAACTTCGTGGCTCTCCTTTGAACCCCTTCCAAGCTCTCCGTCTCCCTCTTTGGTTGTGCACTGAGATCGAGATGCAAGACTTTAATAAGCATCTGGCCAGGCTGGGTGTAATGGTTCTGCATACCAATGTCATGCCTGAATAGTGCTGACGTCGTGTTCATCAACAAGGACATGGCAGGCGTATACTCACCAGCTTACTCCCTCCAAAGGACACCAGCCTCGTAGAATTAGATTCTAAGCAAATGATGTGTTCACCAGGTGAATGTGAAGTAAAATAGAATGCTCCTTGTGGGCCATATAACTTTGACAATAATACCTAGGAGTGAGGATTTCCATAGTTTAAGTTTATTATTCTCTCTTTTCCATTCTTAAAAATAAATCTCCCCTATATAATCCAGTAAAAATTGTGCAGTTCCTAAGGAAGAAATCAAATGGCCAATAAACATGAAAAATATTCAGCCTTGCTAGAAATAAAATATATGTTAAATATATATATATATAAACCACCGTAGGATATTCCTCATTTGTTATCAGATTGGCAAAGATTTAAAAGTACCCAATGATAGTGCTGAGAAATACTGTCTCCAGCACTGTTTTGGGAACATAAATTGAACAACCATTTTAGACTGCAGCTTGGCAATACGTATTGAAAATTAAAATGTACATAACCATTGACCCAGCAGTTCTCCCTGTAGAAATTTATTCTATGGAAATGCAGTAGTGGACAAAGTTATATGTAAAAGGACATTCAGTGTGATGTTATTTGTAATAGCAAAATTGCATTTTTGAAGTAACAATACCTTTCAGCAGGAGATTGATTAAATTTAGGTAAAGTCAAACAAAGGAGCGTTACATGGCAATAGTAAAAGAATATTATACCCATACCTGTACTAAAGGTGTCCATAATATCCCGTGGTAGAGCAGCCTCTATGGGATCCCATTTTTGTAAAAAGTATCATTTGTAAAAGTACACACACATATATATGTTTCTATATGCTTAGATTCTAAAGAGTATACACCAAGCTGTTAGGTGGTTATATTTGTTGGGGCACTTTGATTTTCTGTTTAGTTAATTTCTATATTGTTTGCTGTTTTAAAAACAGGTATAGGACTTACATCCTGGAATACAAGGAGCTTGAAAGTTTGTCACTCTGCCCTAACGAGTAAAAGCTGAACAAAAAGAAAATCAATTCTTCTTAGATCTCTCAGAGAATTGAGGTCACAGGGCAAACCACTGTCCCAAATTGGAGAGACAAACAAGCAAATACAAAGGATCACAACTTACCAGAGCAGAAAACTCTGTGGGAGCCAGTACTGGGTTCCTTTTACCCAGTACATTGGCAAATTTCAATTAGAAAAAGTTGCATGGCATACAAACAGGCAAAAAAACAAAAAACAAAAAAAACACAGTTTGAAGGAAACAGAGCAAGCATCAGAACCAGGTTCAGATATGGCAGGAATATTGGAATTATCCCATCAGGAACTTGGAAAAACTATGATTAATGTGCTAAGGGCTCCAGCAGAAAATGTAGACAACATGTGAGAACAAATGGGTAATGGGAGCAGAGAGATGGAAACTCTAAGAAGGAATCAAAGAGAGATGCTAGAAATCAAAAACACTTAGCAGAAATGAATGCCTTTGATGAGCTCATTCATAGACTGGACAGAGCCGAGGAAAGAATCTCTGAACCTAAGAATATATCAACAGAAACTTCCCAAACTGAAAAGCAAAGAGAGCAGACTTAAAAAAAATGAAAAAGGAGCAGAGTATTCAAGGACTGTGGGACAACTACCTAGGTGTAACATACACATAATGGAAATACCAGAGAAGAAGAAAAAGAGAAAGGAACAGAAAAAATAATTAAAGCAATAATGACTGAAAATTTCCCGAAATTAATGTCAGACGCCAAACCACAGACCTTGGAAGCTTAGAGAGGACCAAGCAGGATAAATACTCAAAACACTAGACCTGGCCATATCGTGTTAAAACTGCGGATACAAAAGATAGAGAAAAAAATCCTGAAAGAAGCCAGAGGAAAAAACACCTTAGACAATGAGGAGTAAAGCTAAGAATTAATCCGACTTCTCAGAAACCATGCAGGCAAGAAAGAGTGCAGTGAGATACGTAAAGTGTTGAGAGAAAGACCACCAGCCTGGAATTCTGTACCTTCTGAAATTCTCCTCCAAAAGAGAAGGAGAAATAAAGATTTTTCTCAGAGAAACAAAGATTATGGAAATTCGTCCGTGATTAACCTTCCTTGAAAGAAATGTTAAAAGTTGTTCAGAGAGAAGGAAAATGACACAGATGAGAAACTTGGATCTACATGAAGAATGGAAGGGCGTGGGAGAAGGAATAAGTGAAGGTAAAATTAAAACTTGCATTTTTCTTCTTAATTGATCTTACCGATAACAGTCTGTTCAAAATAATAGCAACAGTGTAATTGATGATTGTAGTTTATGTGTAAGTGAAATGAATGACAGCAATGATGCAAGGGGTGGAAGGGGAGAATTAGGGATACTTTGTTATCATAAGGCGCTTGCACTACCTGTGAAGTGGTATGGTGTTATTTGAAGGTAAACTTGGATTAATTGCAGATATAGATTGCAAACTCTAGGGCAACCACTAAAAAAAGTAAAAAAATAAGTATAATTGATATGCTAAGAAAGAAGATAAAATCATGTAAAATGATCAATTGAAGCACAAAAGAAAGAGTGGAAGACGAAAATGGGAACAAAGAACAAGGACAACGAATAGAAAACAGTATCAAATATGGTGGATATTAATCCAACTATATCAGCAATCATTTTGAACATCAAGTTCTAAATACACCAATTAAAAGACAGAGATTGTCAGAGTGGATCAAAAAACAAGACCCAACTATATATTGTCTACAAAAAATCCACTTTAAGTATAAAGACACATATAGATGGAAAGTTAAAAGATGGAGAAAGACGTGTATGCCAGCTTTAAGCGAATCTTAATCAGAGGAAAGCTGGAGTAGCTATATTAACTTCAGACACAGTAAAGGAAAATTAACAGGGATAATGACATAATAGAGCGTTACAAAATGATAAAGAGGTTAATTCTCCAAGAAGACAAAACAATCCTTAATGTCTGTGCACCTGACAACAGAGTGTCAAGGTATGTGACGCAAAGCCTGATGGAACTTCAAGGAGAAATAGAAGAACTCACTGTTACAGTTGGAGACTTCAGCATCCCTCTATCAGAAGTGGGCTGACCCAGTAGCAGATCAGTAAGGACATAGTTGAACTCAACAGCACCATCAATCAACTGGATATAATTAGCACGTATACACTACATCCAACAATAGCAGGATACACATTCTTCTCGGGCTCACATGGATCATTCACCAAGATACACAATGTTCTGGGCCATGAAGCATGCCTTAACACACTTAAAATATGGAAACCACAATGTATGCTCTCAGAACACAGTGAAATTAAAGTAGAAATCAATAACAGAAAAATAGCTGGAAAATCCCAAAATATTTAAGAGATTAAACAGCACACTTCTAAATAATAAGTGGGTCAAGGAAGTAATCATAAGAGAAATGCAAAAATATTTTGACCTAGGAGAGGATTCCGGGAAGATGGTGGAGTAGAAAGCACCAGGAGTCTGTCTTTCCATCTAGACAGCAGTTAAACTGTTAGAATCTGTCCGATGGAACATTCTAGAACTCTGTTGAAGGCTTGCAACTTCCAGGGGAAGTCTTGGACAGTAAAATGGTTAATTTGAGTCAATTTCAGCTCTTAGCTCAGTAGCAGCTACCCATCCCCACCCCTAGCCATGCAGCAGGCATCTGTGCACGTGTTCCTGGAGCAGCTTGCATGCAGCTTGTGGAACCTGGGGTGAGCAGAAAAGACCCTGTCTTCCAGATATCAGGGATCTGTGATATCATCACATACAAGGGATCTTCAATAAGATCATCAGCAGATTTCTCACCAGAAACTTTGGAGACCAGAAGGCAGTGGGCTGATACCTTCAAAGTGCTAAAAGGAAAAAGGGCAATAAACACATGAAAAGATGCTCAACATCACTAATAATTAGAGAAGTACAAATGAAAACTACAATGAGATACCACCTCACAACTATTAGGATGGCTGCTATAAAATTAATATTAATTTTAAAAATGCAAGTGTTGGCAGAGATGTGGAGAAATTGCAGCCCTTGTGCACTGTTGGTGGGAATGTACAATGGTGAAGCCACTGTGAAAAACAATATGGTTGTTCCTCAGAAATATGAAAATAGAATTACCATATGATCCAGCAATTTTGTTTCTGGGTATAAACCCAAAGAATTCAAAGCAGGGTCTCCAAGAGATATTTGTACACCCATGTTCATCGCAGCACTATTCACAATAGCTAGAATGTGGGAGCAACCTGAGTGTTGATCAACAGATGAATGGATGAGTAAAATGTGGTATATACATACATTGGAATATTAGCCTTAAAAAGGAAGGAAGTTCTGCAATATGCTACAGTGTGGATGAATCTTGAGGACATTAACCTAAGTGAAATAAGCCAGTCACAAAAAGACAATCCCTGTATGAAGCAACTTACGTAAGGTACTTAGAGTCATCAAAATCGTGAGGGAGTTACTGTTTAATGTGTATAGAGTTTCAGTTTTACAAGATGAAGAGTTAGGGGGAATGGATGGTTGTGATGGTTGCATGACATGAAGGATATATTTAATACCCCTGAAATGCACACTTAGTAAAGGTTAAGACGGTAAGTTTCATGTGTATTTTACCACAATTAAAAAATCTCAGGGTCAGGGCCAGCCTGGTGGTGCAGTGGTTGAGTTTGCATGTTCCACTTTTCGGTGGCCCAGGGTTTGCCGGTTTGGATCCTGGGTGCAGACATGGCACCACTTGGCAAGCCATGCTGTGGCAGGCGTCCCATGTATAAAGTAGAGGAAGATGGACATGGATGTGAGCTCAGGGCCAGTCTTCCTCAGCAAAAAGAGAAGGATTGGCAGTAGTTAGCTCAGGGCTAATCTTCCTCAAAAAAAAAAAAAAAATTTCAGGGCCAGCCCAGAGGCACAGTGGTTAAGTGTGCATGTTCCACTTCGGTGGCCCAGGGTTCACCGGTTTGGATCCCGGGTGTGGACATGGCATTGCTTGGCAAGCCATGCTGTGGCAGGCATCCCACATATAAAGTAGAGGAAGATGGGCATGGATTTTAGCTCAGGGCCAGTCTTCCTCAGCAAAAAGAGGAGGATTGGCAGCAGTTAGCTTAGGTCTAATCTTCCCCAGAAAAAAAAATCTCAAAAAATATTTTGAACTGAATTAAAGT